TGGAAAGAGCTACATAATTTTGCTTCTTAGAACTCCAAGATAATAGGGACCGTCTAAGGAATTGACATGTCCCCGACGTGTTTTTTCGATCTACTTTGCAACCGGCATAATCGGAATTCGAATACCCAAGTAGATCAAACTTAGAGCCTTTAGGATACCACAAGCCAAGCTAGGAGTATGTACTAAATATCTCAAGATTCTCTTAACAGCCACTAAGTGGCACTCTTTTAGGTTAGCTTGAAATCTAGCACACATGCACACACAAAGCATAATATCGGGCCTAGATGCGCACAAATAAAGTAGAGAGCCAATCATGGAGCAATATACCTTAGTATCCACAGCGTTCCCTTTATTATTAAGATCTAGATGTCCATTTGGTTGGTATGGGAGTTTTGATAGGCTTGGCATTTACCATGTCAAACTTCTTGAGCATATCATGGGTGTATTTCGTTTGGCTAATGAAAGTTTCATCCTTCACTTGCTTGATTTAAAATTCGAGGAAGAACTTTAATTCACCCATCATGGACATTTCAAATCTCTTGGTCATCGATATATATTTGGTACACAAATATATCTTTGCCAACTTTTTGAGTGAAAATGGTAGAATCGGCTTTGCCTATTTCAAAGGTTTGTTTAAGCAAGAATTCCTTAAGGCATTCATACCATGCTCTTGGTGCTTGATTAAGTTCATAGAGCGTCTTTGGAAGTTTGTAGACATGGTTGGAAAACTTGTGATCTTTAAAGTCTGGTGGTTGCTCGACATAGACAAGTTCTTGAATAAGGCCATTGAGAAATGCACTCTTCACATCCATTTGATAAAGCTTGAAGTTGTGATGACCGGCATAGGCTAGAAGCATTTGGATTGCTTCAAGCCTTGCCACCGGTGCATACGTTTCTTCAAAGTCCAAGCCCTCTACTTGAATGAAACCTTGAGCAACCAATCTTGCTTTGTTTCTTGTCACCACTCCATTCTCATCTTACTTGTTGCAGAAGACCCACTTGGTACAAATGATATTGGTATTGGGTCGTTCCACCAAGGTCCACACTTGGTTTCTTTCGAAGTTGTTGAGCTCTTCTTACATGGCCATCACCCAATCCGGGTCTCCAAGTGCTTGTTCTATCTTAAGATGTTCCAAAGAGAAAACAAACGAGTAATATTGACAAAAATTTGCTAAATGTGAACGAGTTGTTACCCCTTTTTGAAGACTCACAAGGATGTTGTCAACGGAATGATCCCGTTGTATTGTTTGCCTTAGCCTTGGATGTTCAATGGCATCTTGTTCATCTTCAGGACCTTCATCATCTTCTTACTCAAATATGAGTTGTAGGTCTTGTCTATGAGCTGGAGTCGAATTAGCTGCTGCTGACTGTGTAGGTGTGGCACTGCCGCTCTCATGTGCGGCACTGTCGCGTGTAGGTGTTGCAGTAGGTGTTTGCTGCTATTTAGCATCAGATACGTCAGCGGAAATAGGTGCAACAGCAACTTGAGGAAGCTCCACTTCAGTGACTTCATCTTCTTGTAGTCTAATATCACCAATAACCAATTGCTTGATTGCTTCACATGGTGGATCCTCCTTCCTACAATACTTGAATCAACTTGCTCCGCTTGAGAGCCATTAGATTCATCAAATATCACGTCTACCGCAATCTCAATTCTCCCGGAGATTTTGTTAAAGATACGGTAGGCATGCTCATTTGATCCAAAATAGGGGTGGTATATATCCATGCCAAAAGGAAAAAATGACAAAGTTACTGATTACTAGTTCAAATACCTGGTGCACATATCCTGTCGACGATTTATACACCCACTCTAGCACTGGTGATAAAATGGTCAGTCGATGTAATCATGTAAAGTGTCCCCTCCTGTATCTTTTAAGCACAAAAGAAAAATCAGATTCAACATTTGTTCTTTATTTACAATTATTTCAGTCTAGAGATGTATTCAGTTATGCACTATAGAAGAAGGTTGTTTGGTTGGGCATGTGAAGAAAATTACATGGCTTGAAGCGTGCAATTTCTGATGCGTACTGGTTGGCTTCTACCTGGAACTAGAGTCACAATGCTTGGAGTTGGAAGTTGGAACTCACACGCCCACATCAAGGCACCTCGGATCACATCTGACTCCGTCCGCTGCAAGCACATCATAGACTGTGATGTGAATGCAACACGATTGAAATTGTGAGAGTGGATAAAGACGAGGTTCCTCAAAGTCTATGTTGACATTTACAGTAAAGTAGATATGTAAACAGAATTCGGAATTAATGGTACCTTTAGACAGCGAAGGCATGATAGCACACCACTTGGCCCGATGGCATCCGATCCACTCATTCCTGCAGGCAATCTGATCCACCGCAGTCTGGTTCTTTGTTATCTAGCGGTGTATCTCTGTTCTTCTTCAGAACTGATGTACTGTGGAGACATCTGTCACAACTCACTACCTTCGTGGTGTCCCCTGTTGCTGACGATTAAGGTTTCCTAACTTAAGAACAGCTATGAAGGGATGGGAGCAGTGTGGAATACAGCACTGCTCTGCGCTGCTGTCTTCTTGATTCCAGCCTCCAGCATCACCTCGCCCTGTTGCCCATTCTCACGTCAGCCAGCCGATTCCCATCTTCTAAATAGAAATTCCTAGTAGTCACATACCAACGTGATTGCTGGGGTCAAGAGCCATCAGTTTCTGCACAATCACTACAGCAAGCTCAACATTTCCATGGAGGCCCCGGCGGCGGCGGGGGCGCCCGGAGCGGAGAGGACGCGCACGTGCGCGTGGGCGAGGCGGTTGTAGGGGAAGGCGCTGGTGGCTGCGGCGGAGCATTGGGGTTCTTGCGGAGGGCAGGGGAGGAGCGCGTGCAACTGGAAGAGGCGGCGCGCGAATGGGAAGTGCTTCAGGCGCTCGAAGACGGCGCACGAGTACGGGGAGGCGTGACACATCGACGCACGGGCGCTCCAAGAAACCTCGCCGCCGCCGTTCTGATTTTCCGCGCCGCGAGTGGAAGCGCACGGACACGGACGGCTCCGCCTCCGACCCGTCCTCCGTGGACCGTGGCCGTGAACTGCGCCGCAGGCCGAACTGAAGACGGTTCAGCAATGCAACTGGCCCATAAAACTCTGTTGTGGATTGAACTTGAACAGAATGGGTCGACACGAACAGTCCAAGAAAGCAGGATTTCGGCCCGGATAATGTTCTTGTGCTGCTAGAACATTTTCCCTCTCTTTGCGGAATATTTTTCGCACTAGAACCAATCGGTTGTCATCCTATATATATATATAATGATTAATAAGAAAATTATTCTCATGATTAAAATGGACTATGAAGAGAAACATATTTCTCAGTCTCTACTATAAACAACGCTTGGTACACCCCATGTCGCGTCCCCCGATAAAAAAGTCCAACCATTATATACACAAAAAAAATTGTACCTAGCAAATTGTCTTAAAATCAAGGGCCTAAAACCATCCTCAAAAGCTTCAACCCAATCCTGTAGCCACGATTGTTCTTCTCAAATCTCTCTAGGCTTCAACTCTTCTCACCCGCACCCGCCCCACACCGTGCGATGCTCGGGTGGCCAGGGTTCGACTCCCATCCCCGCGTCCCATTTTCTTCTCTTTCGAAATAAACGTTGGGCTACCTTCGCCGGCTCCACCTTGCGCGTGGGCTCCTTCCCCAACACGTACTGTTGCGTCGGCCCGCCGTCGCGGCCCTCGCGGTGTGCCATCGGCGGCGGCACTCACCGCCGTGCTGTCCGCCGCAATGGGCCTGACCGCGCGCCACCGGCGCCATGTGGCCGCGTGGCGCCCGTGCGCCCTTCGACTGGCCCCCACCGGCCGAATCTCCGCCCGCGGGGGAGGACGTGGCCGCATCTATCGTTTAGCTATTTATTTGGGCTAAACTGCCATTTAAACGCGTTAAACGGTGATTAAATATGATAAACGGCTAATTAAACGGACATGGCTAGCATTTACACGGCGTGTAAATGGGCTACACGTCCGTGCATGCGACTACGTGACATCTCATGAAATATAGAAAAAAACCACGTGAGAGATAAAATATAACAAATAAAAATATAAAAAATGAAATAAAAAAGATATAATCAAAAGTAATGGAGGAAATAAAGGAAAACAACCTAAAATTCATCAAAGAACATCACATGAATACTATTTGAACAGCCTAAAATATACATAGAATATCTTATGGTACTATGTGAATACTCAAAAATAATCGTGGAACGTCTCATTTATATGTCATCGCGTGTCATCCACGAAAAGACGGATGAGATATAGATATACATAGTACATTTTTTTTTCTTATTATGCCATCAGCGAGAGATGCATGGAAACAAACAGTCAAACACATCGATGTGTCAAAACACACGGCGGCTTGCAAAGAAGAAAATAAATTGCGACGGATTCAAGCCCTATGTACGATGAATTACCAATCCATACAAGATATGAAAGATCAATCAAATATACATATGTTTCAACTTCATTTTCGTGTAAGCTGTCTCAGTTTTTCTGAGTCGATGCATTATTGCTTATTTCATCCAGTTTGTTATTGCAGAGGAAGTCAGCTACAGCGACCCCTCAAGATAAAACTCATACGATGAGACTGGAAACAAGGATTGTTTGACATGGATTAGCCTCTAAAGTGTAGCTGACTTCTCCAGATATAACAAACTATATTATGCCTTCTCAACTTTGGATGGGTAAAGCATTATAAATCTCAGTTTTAACAACGATACCACGCCTACACCAGTTAATCACCAATCGAGTAAATTAACAGCACATATAACAATTCAACGCATCAGCAGCAGCAGCATACATCATCTGAAAAGGAATATGAATTGCATCTACTTCCACTCAACCTTATATATGATGGTCTATAGCATATATAACTGCATCATAGAAATGAAACATAAGAGAGCACTGGCTTATCTAGGAAGCTAGAAAGACACTGCAGTAGTAAGCGGCCACCATACATCCCTAGCCTCTAGGCCATAGACATGCAAGAAGCATTACTCATCCTGTTGTTCATCAGCTTCCTGGTGACAATGGTGTCAACCACCCCTTCCGAGCTTGGCATATCATTGCCAGGGTGCCCCAATAAGTGTGGCAATGTATCCATTCCTTACCCCTTCGGCATCGGCGCAAGCTGTGCTGCAACCAACCTGAACACCTACTTTGCTCTGACATGCAACAACAGCTTCCAACCACCAAGACCTATGTTTGGTGTCTCTCCCAGAGATGTAGAGGTCATTGACATCTCCTTGGAGCATGGTGAGGCCCGTGTTTATGGTGCTGTCAGCTACAGCTGCTTCACGTCAAACACCACATCATACAACTACACCACTGGGTTCAGACTGGATACCACGCCATTCATCGTCTCCACCCGCAACCATTTCACAGTCATTGGCTGCAACACCCTCTGGCTCATTGGCGGCACCATGGACAACAGCTCTGATTTGCATGTGGCTGGCTGCTACTCCTACTGCGAAGGCATCAACAGCACATCTGACGGGGCGCCATGCACTGGGACAGGATGCTGCGAGACCACCGTCTCCCCCAACCTCACAGACTTCTTAGCAATAATCACAATGAACGAGAGCAGTGTGTGGAACTTCAACCCATGCTCCTATGCGATGCTTGTCGAGGCTGGGTGGTACAGCTTCAGGAGCCACGACCTTATTGGCGACCATGGGTTCATCAATGACAGAGCTCCTAGAGGTGTCCCTGTCGTCAATGACTGGGCCATTAGAAACAGTTCCTGTCCGAAGGATGGGGCAAAAGCACCAAAAGATTATGCTTGTGTCAGTTCAAACAGCTACTGTGTGAATGCAAGCAATGGTCCAGGATACTTGTGCAAGTGCTCTATAGGTTATGAGGGCAATCCTTATCTTCTCAAAGGTTGCCAAGGTAAGCATTTCATCAAATAACCTTGCTGTAAACTAGAATTTAGAAATCAAGGTCAACAACTGCAAGAAAAAGTCTAGCCAACACATGATTAGAGCCAAGCAGGGCTAAAAAATTTACTAGTTCAAGATATCAAAACTTATTTGTTACTTGTCCAACATATCTTAAGGAAACTTCATACACTGATTACTTCACATTTTTCCTAAATCCATATTAATATGTTTTCAAATTCTAACTTCGTTCAGATATAGATGAGTGTGAACTGCGCAAGCAGGATGTTAGGTATAAAAAACTGTATCCATGTGAAAATGGGCGCTGCCGCAATACACCAGGAGGCTACATATGCAAGTGCAGGATAGGAACAAGATCAGATGGTACAAATTCTGGATGCCGACCTGTGCTTAGCAAAGCTGAACAGGCAGTTATAGGTAAGGATCATAATTGAGAGTAAATTTTAAACCTAAGGTATTTTTTTCAAGGTTTTGAAGCACTCAAGCATATAGAGTAACCATTGTGCAGGTCTCAGTGCGTCTGCAGTTCTAGTCATATCTTTGACATGCTTATTGGTTATGAAATTACAACAAAGTAAGCATAGGAAGGAGAAGGATGAATATTTCAAACAAAATGGGGGTCTAAGATTATATGATGAAATGAGATCAAGGCAAGTTGATACCGTTCTCATACTCTCAGAGAACGAGATAAAGAAAGCCACAGACAACTTCAGTGAAGATAATGTTCTTGGATGTGGTGGTCATGGAATGGTCTACAGAGGAACTTTAGATGATAACAAAGAAGTTGCCATAAAGAAGTCCAAACTAAAGGATGATGACAGCAGAGAAGAATTTGTGAATGAGATAATAATCTTATCACAAATTAACCATAGGAACATTGTAAGGTTACTAGGATGCTGCTTGGAGGTAGATGTGCCGATGTTGGTGTATGAGTACATTTCCAATGGTACCCTCTTTGAGTTCCTTCATGTCAATCAAAGCAGATCACCAATCCCATTGGATCTTAGATTGAAGATTGCTACACAGTCAGCAGAAGCTCTTGCCTACATTCATTCAGCAACTTCTCGCACAATTCTGCATGGAGATGTCAAATCCCTCAATATACTCTTGGATGAAGAATACAACGCAAAAGTCTCAGATTTTGGAGCATCAGCACTGAAGTCCATGGACAAAAATGATTTCATTATGCTTATCCAAGGAACTCTTGGTTATATTGACCCTGAGAGCTTTGTCAGTCACCATCTAAGTGATAAAAGCGATGTATACAGCTTTGGGGTTGTTCTTTTAGAGTTAATGACAAGAAAGAAGGCTTTATACATTGATGCCTCTAATGAGAAGAGAGCACTATCTCATACTTTCATACAGATGTTCCACCAGAAGGAGCTCCGGGATATTTTGGACAGTGAAATAGTATATGATGAAACAATGATAGTAGTTCAGAAACTAGCTGAAATTGTCATGCACTGCCTGAGCACAAAAGGAGATGAGAGGCCAACGATGAAGGAAGTTGCAGAGCGACTACAAATGTTAAGAAGGCTCGAGATGCAGCAGGTGACAAAGACACCTCCTATTCAAGCACACCATTATTACGAAGAGCAATCAGTATATGTCCCTTCAGATGAGACGGAATACCAGAGCATGGAGACAACCAAACTGGAATTGGAGGTAGACATTGTAAGATAACTATGTGCAATGTTTTCCTTTTTATGTATATTTGTTTATATTTTGTAATGCATAAAAAATGTTGTATGTACAGGTTATACATTTGTGTGTGCGTGCACATAAAAAATCATCACTCATGCCCTGCAATGTGTCAGAATTAATTGCATCTTTAGTTTTAGGTTAGACTTCATTTGGGTGTTAAATTAACTTGGTTACATGTCAAAGTATTCCAAGCTTTTCTTTACATATTAATTCGAAAATACTTCCTCTAGGTCCAGGATTCAACATACTGGATTAGGATATATAAACTGTATGCAAGAAATGAGTTGATGTAGGTTCGTTTAATCAAATTTATGCTACATTGTTCAGCATTCCATGATTTTCCTTACAGAGGCTGGGTGCTACATGGAAATTGGAACCTCAATGTAGAACTTGCAGTTCATTCAGTATGCAATACCTTATTGTACCAAAAGAAAAACGAGTAGAAAGACAAAGTAAAACAACGTTAAAAATGCATCACCAAAGAACACAAATACATGGAAGAAGCATTTTGAATTGTAGTTCAACAGACAGATTAAGCAACATACCTTATCATAGAACCAGATCCAGTAGATATGCAATCGCCAGGACCTAACTTTAGGGTATCCAGTCCCCATACAGTTTAATGGACTGCACTAGTTTAATGCAGGCTCTGAAAACAAGTGAGTTACTCACACAGAAACATGTCAGTTGCACAGTGTGCACAATTCATCTGAAGCGAGTTTCTTGCAGGAAAGCCTGCCTTACTAGTAATGTTCAGTTGTTCATTTAGGGTACAAACATCATGGGTTACTTCCACAGAGCAAATGTTGTTTAAGGGGAAATCTTAACAGCATCAAGTGTCACAACATCAGAGCAGAGCATCATCATTTCATCAAGTATAGGAGAAACAAAAAAAAAAAAGAGCAATCCAAATCAGGTACCATGTCAATAAGAAATGCGCTTTTTAGATACCGCTTAACGAATTGTCAATAACAAAAGCAAAGCCCTTTTCGTACGTTAAGTTGGGGGTAAGCTAAAGATGAAACCTACCAAGAGTCATGGGGTAAGCTCAGTTGGTCCAGGGCTCCAGGGTGTGGATGTATACCCAAACCATCAAGTCCTGGTCGAGGCGAATTTGGGTGCCTACTTTCTTCTTGTCAACTAGGCCGATTGGTTCGAATGCAGAGGTAATAATAGTACTAATAACGATATGAGTGAAAAGGTGCAAAACATAGTTACTAATAACGATAGCGAAGAAGGAATTTTGGAGAGCTAGCCACAAATTCATAAAAAAAAAATTTGAAATCAGTAATAACCCAACAGGCCGATACAGAGGTTCCACTTCATGCCCAGAAAAGTGCTGAGAACAATCCAGGTATTGGTATTATTGCTTCGCACGAACAGGAACAGGAAAAAGGTAAATACAAAAAGGACAGGAACAGGAAGAGCCTAATACAAGGTGATCAGGAGTTGAGGACTTAATTCGAATCGTCCACTCTCGCAACATAGCAGCTGATGATTATTCGAGTAAGGAAGGACTTACGAGTTAGGACCACACTGGTGCTCACTTGAGAGGGCAGAGGAGGGAGGTGCAGGAGCAGCTTGCGAGGTCGGGTCTGGGGTCGTCGAGCTTGTCTGAGAAGGGGCAAAGCCAGGCGCAAATGGGAGCGGAGGTGCAGGGCGGCGCCGGCTGGGTGCGGGTCCGCCACCGCCACCGCCACCCCCCGCCCCTCGCCGAAGCCACCCGCCGGCCAACACCTCTGGAGCCGGCGATGTGAGCGAGCCCGGGCCTACCGGAGGAGCCCAAGCGAAGCGCGCGGCCGCGGTCTGTCTCGTCGCAGTCGTGACCACGAGAGAACAGCCCTCCGACCCATCTGTATTCTGGGCTGGCCCATCGTGAGCAAGACCCATCTCTGTGGGCTTGGGCCAGTTAAGCCAATAATAGGTTCTTCTTCTCAAGTTCCCGCCCTCAACGACGAAGAAAAGTAGTGATTATTAGCTAGTGTGACTTGGAGTCTTTGGAAGGCGAGAAATGACTGGCTGTTTTTGTTTCAGAGGTGCTCAGAAGTCGTTTACTGCTGAAGACTGGAGATCGCTGCTATCTTTTTCTATCTTTTGGTTAAGTCGTAGCTGTCTTGTAGTTTAAATCTTTGCAGTAAACTCCAGCTGCCTATTTTGTTAGCCGTGTGGTGCTTGTAGTGTGCTAAACTTTGTAAGCTGGAATCCCCAGCTGTTATCTTTGCTTTCAATAAGCAGGGCCAAGGTCTTTGGTCTAAAAAAAAAGAAGAGTAGTGAACAGCACTGTGCCTGTGCGGCTTCGTTCGGCTGGCTGGAGCCAGCTGGTTCCTCATCAGAAAACATTGTTCATGTTCCAGCCGATACAATATTTTTCTCTCACAACAAATCAGCCAAAAACAACCAGTCGGCTTTAATCCAGCTCAGCCGAACAGAGTCGAAGACCATAGAGATGGCCAGATGTAGCACTATGCGAGTACTTGAACAGCACCATCTGGTAGTTAGCTGTGTTATTTTTTTTTTGTCTAACGACCCATGAACAGCGCCGTTTCTGCTGGGCATTACGCGGTGCTCCCGATGACGTTTCATTCCTCCGATAGAAATCTGGCACGTTAGCGAATTCATCTGAGATCAGTTAGTTGGTTCCTTGTGGTGTAACTTACGCATGTGGTGACTTCGTGAATATCAAGATCTGTCGACTTAGTCTTTCAGAAGGTGCTTATATATATAGAGTTTACATATGTATGTTCATATAGATGAGTGTATATGCGTGTGGTGGACGTCTACGTTGTACTATGTGATTTAAAAAACAAGATAGGTAGTAAACCATAAAAAAAAATCTAGCACGTCTCGTTCTTCTAATGACGCACTCAACCGCCAGATTGTGCTTCAGGCCTTTGAGCACACTATCTTTTCTGCTAGCCACAGAATGATGCGAGAGAAAACAAAACAAAGAAGAGTAGAACAGCGAAGATAAGTACTACCTCCGTCCTAGAAGAATACAATTCTAATACAATTCTACCAGTGTCATGTTTTAGTATATTAAGTTTGACCAATTATGTATAAAAAAATATAAATAATTATGATATTTAAGTCATTAGATTTCTCATAAGACATATTTTTATAATATTTTTATTTGTTGTTAAAATATTAATATTTGTATCTATATTTGGTCAAACTTTATTAGACATAGAAACCAAAAATGAATCTAGAATTGCATCCTTTTCAGGATACGGGGAGTAAGCAGGAGTTGATGACTAGACAATAGCCTGCTGGGTGCTTATCGCTGTCGTTGATGCTACTGTGCTACAGTCTGCTGCAACCTAGCAGCAGCAGTGTTTCATAGGACAGCTTCAGCCTTTGGCCCTGTTCGCTTCGCTGAAAAGCCAGGCTGAAAAATACTGTCTTGCTAATTTGTTGCGAGAGATAAATACTGTACCAACGGCTGATAAGTTCAAGCATTGTAATTGTACATTTGGTTTAGCACGCTCCAGGCGAGGCACACGCTTGATTCAGATGCCTAAACAAAGATGCATGTGTTCAGAAGTTCAGAACGAAACATCACGGAAACATGGAACCGGACTCCCCTGCACTTCTCAAAAACAGCCGTATTTTTTTATGCCAGTGAGAACTGCATGTAAACACAAGATCAATGAGTCAAATCATCCGAAACATGCGACGGCTTCAGGCCTAAAAATATACTTATCCAAAGACAATGGTCAATCAAACATGATTATCCTTCACCTTTGCAATTTCAGAGAAGCTGTCTCAAGTTTCCAAGTCAGTCCCTCATTGCTTATTTGATACAATCTGTTACTGCACACAAAGGCTTCGAACTCCTTGAGAAGATTAGGCATGCTTTCATACTTGTTACCAGATGCAAAGACATGAAACAAGGATTGTCTGTAACAATATGAGTGGGGCTCAAAACTGGAGATAGCCTTTCCAGATTTAACAAACCAATAAGCGTCACCCTTTGCAATTTCAGAGAAGCTTCTTAACCAGATAGGGTTTTGATTCAACAAACCAATGAGTGTCACCCTTAGCAATTTCAGAGGAGCTTCTTAACCAGATACGATTTTGATTTAACAAACCATGAGTGTCACCTTTGTAATTTCACAGGAGCTTCTTAACCAGATAAGGTTTTGATTTAACAAACCAATGATTGTCACCCTTTGCAAATTCAGAGGAGTTTCTTAACCAGATAAGGTTTTGACATCTGTATATTCGAATATCAGATTGGGCCGTTTTCAACTTTGAACAGTACAACATTATTATACAGTTAAGTCCAGTCAAAGTCTTTAGCTTAATGCTAACTCAACTATATTAGTTAATTACCAATCGTCAAAACTAGCAGCAGATCCATCAATTTCAATGCATCATCATCTGAAAGGGATAGCCTAGTCAAATATGTGCAATCACTTTATAACCTACAATTATTTCCATATAACCTAGGGATCTGGCCCAGCATGGTATACATCAGAGCACCGGCTTAGCTAGGTAGTGAGTTAGACAGACAACGCATTAGCAAGCGGCCATCATACCTCTCTAGCCATGAAAGAAGCATTAATCCTCCTGGTTCTCATCACCTTCATGGTGACAGTGTCAGACACCTCTTCTGGGCTTGCCATATCATTGCCAGGGTGCCCTGACAAGTGTGGTAATGTGTCCATCCCTTACCCCTTTGGCATCGGCGATGGCTGTGCTGCAGGCAACCTGAACCGCTACTTTACTGTGACCTGCAAGGACAGTTTCCAGCCACCAAGGCCTATGATTGGTGACCCTTCCAGTGCTGTAGAGGTCATCGACATCTCCCTGGAGCATGGTGAGGTGCGTGTTTACGGCGGAGTCAGCTACTACTGCTTCACGTCAAACACCACCATATCAGACAACAACACTGCCGGATTCAGCCTGGAGAACACACCATTCATCCCCTCCACCCGCAACCGCTTCATGGCCATCGGATGCAATACCCTGGGGCTCATTGGCGGCGACACACACAGCAACTCAGACCTTTATGTGACTGGCTGCTACTCATACTGCCAAGGCATCAACAGTACATCTGACGGAGCACCATGCACTGGGATGGGATGCTGTGAGACCACCATATCCCCCAACCTCACCAACTTCGCAGCACTACTGTACAACCAGAGCAGTGTGTGGAGTTTCAATCCATGCTTCTATTCTATGCTTGTTGAGGATGGGTGGTACAGCTTCAGGAGGCAGGACCTTGTCGGGCACCTTGGGTTCATAAAGGAAAAGCAACGAGAGGTGTTCCGGTTGTCGGTGACTGGGCCATTAGAAACGGATCCTGTCCAAAAGATGGGGCAAAAGCACCTAAAGACTATGCTTGTGTCAGTACCAACAGCTACTGTGTGAGTGCAAGCAATGGGCCAGGGTACCTTTGCAACTGCTCTCAAGGTTACGAGGGAAATCCTTATCTTTCCGGAGGCTGCCAAGGTATTGTTTGTTCAAATGAACTCGCTGTTTAGAGTTTAGGAATAATAACAGCAACTGCAGGAACAATTTTAGCCAGCGTGTGGTGAAAGCCAACTCTTTAATTGAAGGCAAAACTCATAAGAATTTTTTGTTACTTGTACAAGTTTTTTTTAACTTCATATAATGAATTAAATTGTATTTTGGTCTTCTTTTTCCTTATTAAATCCATGTTAACCTGTTTTCTTAATAATTCCCTACAGACATAGATGAGTGCAAGCTACGTAAGCAGGACCTGAAGTACAAAGAATTATATCCATGTGAAAATGGGGTCTGTCACAATACACAAGGAGGCTATATATGCAAGTGCAAGATAGGAGCAAGATCAGATGGTACAAATTCTGGATGCCGGCCTGTGCTTCGCCAAGCTGAACAGGTGGCCATAGGTAAGGATTGTACTTGAGAGTAGACTTGAACAATCTAACATGACTTTCGAGGATTTTGAGGCATCTAATCATAAGAAAATCATCATGCAGGCCTCAGCGCAGGTGCAGTTGTGGTGGTATCTTTGACGTGCTTACTGGTTATGAAGTTACAACGGAACAAGCATAGGAGGGAGAAGGATGATTATTTCAAACAAAATGGAGGACTCAAATTATATGATGAGATGAGATCAAGGCAAGTTGACACCATTTATATACTTACAGAGAAAGAGATAAAGAAAGCCACAGATAATTTTAGTGAAGATCATGTTCTTGGATGTGGTGGCCATGGCATGGTCTATAGAGGAACTTTAGCTGACAACAAAGAAGTTGCCATAAAGAAGTCCAAAATAATAAATGATGACAGCAGAGAAGAATTTGTCAATGAGATAATAGTCCTGTCCCAAATTAACCACAGGAACATAGTGAGGTTACTAGGATGCTGCTTGGAGGTAGATGTGCCGATGTTGGTGTATGAGTTCATTTCCAATGGTACGCTCTTTGAGTTTCTTCATGGAACTGATGCCAGAATACCAATACCATTGGATCTAAGATTGAATATTGCTACACAGTCAGCAGAAGCTCTTGCCTACATTCATTCATCAACTTCTCGCACAATTGTGCATGGAGATGTCAAATCCCTAAATATACTCTTGGATAACGAATACAATGCAAAAGTGTCAGATTTTGGAGCATCAGCACTGAAGCCCATGGACAAAAACGATTTCATTATGCTTATCCAAGGAACTCTTGGTTATATCGACCCTGAGAGTTTTGTCAGTCACCGCTTAACTGATAAAAGTGATGTATACAGCTTTGGGGTCGTTCTTTTGGAGATAATGACAAGAAAGAAGGCCATACATATTGATACTTCTAACGAACAAAAAGCACTATCCTATACTTTCACACTGATGTTCCACCAGAATAAGCTCCGGGATATATTGGACACTGAAATAGTTGATGATGAAGTTATGATAGTACTCAAGAAACTAGCTCAGCTCGTCATGCACTGCCTGAGCCCAAAAGGAGATGAAAGGCCAACAATGAAGGAAGTTGCAGAGCGACTACAAATGTTAAGAAGACTTCAGACACAGCTTGTCACCAAGACCAACCCTATTCAAGAACATTATTCTTATGGAGTGCCATTAGTTTCTATGCTTTCAGATGAGACTGGGATGTTAGAGGACTGAGACAGCCAAACTGGTGTTGGGGGTAGATCTTGGAAGATAAATATGTGAAATGCTGATCTTTTATGTATATTATACTTTGCCTTTTTTTTTCTTAAATCAAATGAAGCGCAACTCTCCTGCATATTCAAGGAAAACAAATTCAACACTTTGTACTGCAAGTTCATTGTGTGATTCTTAATATACAACTATATATTGTAAAAAACTGTCAGCATTAATTGCATCTGTATTTCGATTTTAAACTTTATTTGGGTGTCAGATTAAACTGTTAACATATCAAAGAGCTCCAGCTTTTCCTTACACAATCATTATATAGTCTTTGTCCAGAACCAGGATTTTGACATACTGGATTATGATAGATAGTCTGTATAGCACTGAGTTGATGTAGGTCTACTAATCAAATCCATGCTACAATACTACATCAAATACCTACCATCATATCTGTCAATGTGGATAACTTATAGTTCATTTGCTATGCAATACCCCATACTACCAAGAGTGGAAAAAAGAAAGTAAGAAACAAGTACAAAGACAAACAAATGGAAGATAACATTTTGAACTGTGGTTCAACTTCAACAAACAGATTAAACAACATACCTTGTCATCATAAAAAAAATTATCTTGTCACAGAACCAAATCCAATAGATATGCAATCAGGACCTAACATTAGGCTATCCATTCCCTGCACATACAATTTACAGCGCATGAGCATGGTTATCTTTCAGAGATCTTAATAAAACTGTGGAAGGCAAATATAGTAATCACTAATCAGAATGCACTAGTTTCGAGCAGGATCGGCAAAGACAGCATTAATCACATAGAAACATGTATTTGCATAAGAGTGTGTGTATTGATGCATCTAGAGTGTCCCACAGGAAGGCCTAACTTACAAGCAGTTCTTTTCAATGTTCCATTTTATGGTCCATCCCATCGACCCCTTCCACCGAGCAAATGCACTTTCAGAGGAAGCTTTAACAGCATCAAGTCTCAGAACATCATTGCATTAGCATGAAGCAAAACTGTATCATAGAAGGGGAAAACGAAATAACTGCTTGAATTGTGTATAGAGCTAAATATCTGACTGTTTACATGAATGTATCTAGCCATGTACAGAAAATATGTAAGAATATACTGATAGTTTGTAGAAATATTACACAGCCAAATTTGTTCAAAACACAGCACCTTAATAAAACGACGAACTATGGGTTGAGTTGTTAGAGCAATTTGGTTTTACATGCGCCTATGCCATGCAACAGAACCTTTAAACTAAAAAAAAGGACTCCAACTCAGGTATCATCCCAATAAGACATGCTCTTTATGCAGAGCTATCAGATACTATCTCTCCGTACCACTTAGCATAACAACAACAACAACACCACCAAAGCCTTCTAATTATAAGCAAGTTGGGGTAAGCTAGAGATGAAACCCAACTAGGGTAACAAAGATAGAGCATAGAGTAACAAAACAGGTCTTATAAATCATACTGATGATAAGAAAAAAGAAGGAATTTTGCAGAGCCAGGAACCAACTAAACTATACATTTTACATTCATATAATTTAGCCAACTAAATTATACATCATATATTTAAATCCAATAACCTGCTACGGAGGTCCCACTGAAAGCAGTCTTGCTCAAGAAACTGGAGAATATCCATGTCTTAGTATTATTAATTCGCACAAACAGGAATAACAGTACAAGAAGTACATAGCAGCAGTAAAATAAGAGGTAATAATACAAAACAGGCAGGAAGCGCCTAATATAGAGAAGACTAATTAAGATGTTGGCTATCCTCTCTTCCATGCAGTTCATTCCCCTTCACTCAGATTGGCATGCCTTTTGGCACGATCTGGTCCTTTATCCACATGTAAATAGGCACCAGAACATAGTATGCAGCACATATTGTTCCTACGAGGAAGCGAAAGAAGAAGGTGATCGGATTCACTGGCTTGCTGACATCCTCCGCCTTGGGACCAAGCTGCATGAAAAATAAAACGTAAAGACTTATACCAAAACCCCTGAATGCCTACTGCAGGAAATGAACAATCTAAAGTCTGAACGAGATGTGCCAAAAAGGCATTGAGATATGTAACTATGAATTTGAGTAGTTACGCTTTCCATCACCAAAATGAAAAAGGACAGGTACCTCCAAGGGAGAGTCTCCGCTCTGTCTCTTGACGCCTGTGACAGAGCAACCCATGATGAGGCCATGCCTTCGGACACCGCGGTACCACTTGGGTCCAATCCTTTTCAGCTTGACATCCTTAAACCCAGCCTTCGTGAACCACTCGATGTACTCTTCCTCCTTGGGGAAGAGCATCCACATGTCGGCGAAGAAGCGGGACAGCCAGAAGGTTGGGTACACCGGGCCAATCACACAAGCTAGCCCACCAAACCTCAAGACCCTGTAGGCTTCCTTGATCCCCCGCTGTGGGTCAGGCCAGTACTCGATGCTGCAAAGGTATTGTGAAGGGCAGCAAAAAATCAGCAATCCGTAGTACTACTTGGGTAGCTGTTATTATGTACTAATGGAATGGAATGCGCAATCATCACAACATCGTTTATTTGGAACATATTCACAGTATGCACAGGTAGTACAGGATGATATATACGGAGTAGGGACAGTACTGAAGTGAACTAGTGAAGCGAAGTGAAGTGAATCGAGGAGCAGGGGAGGACGACTCGAGAGACCTGCCAGCGGAGATGTATCGGTCGAAGGAGTCGGTGGGGAACGGGAGGTCCTCGGCGTCGCCCTCCATGATGGTGACCCCCTTGAGGGCCTCCTTCTGCCTGGCCTTCTCGAGCTGGTGCGGGGACTGGTCGAGCAGCGTGACTTTCTCCGGGTCGACGTGCTTGACGATGCCGAGCGTGGTGAACCCCGTGCCGCCGCCGACGTCGACGACCTTGAGGTGGCGGCTGTAGAGCTCGGCGGGCTCCAGCGCGTCGTCGCGCATGTCCTCGGTCCAGTGGCCCGGGTTGATGACGTGGTCGTACACGATGGAGAGGAAGCGGTAGAACCAGAAGGCCTCCTTCTTGTGCTGGATGAAGCGCGGCGCCGTGACGGGCCGCGCCGCCGGGGCCGCGGGGGAGGAGGACGCCGCGCACCGCAGCCTGGCGGCGCCGCCACCAGCGACGGCGACGGGGCTGCTCATTCGCCTGGCGAGGGCGAGGGGGCGGGGGCGCGGGAGGCCGCCGGCCTTGGAGGGGGCGAGGAAGCCGAGGCCGGCGGGGCCGCGGACCCTGCCCTTTCCCGGCGCGAGCGCCCCCGCGCCGCCTCCCGGCGCGTAGGTGGAGGCCATCGCCATTGCGCCGCCCGCGCCGCGACGAGGGAAGGGGGAGGGGATGGGTGGATGCGACGAGCAGAGTGAGGGCGGCCAGGCTCCTCTGAGAGAGGACAAGAGGAGGGATCACGGGAGCGGGGATGTGTGGTGCCGTGGGTGTATGGATGGATGATGGGCTGCGCCGTGGCGTCCTCGCACACGGCCGCGCCTGGCCGACTGGCCGTGCCCCATGCCTCGTGTTAGTGCGTGCGGTGGGCCTGTCTGCTTTTTTTCTTTTTCTTTTTTGAAGCCCAAGGTATTGAGAAGTCATAACTTTTAAAAAAAAATTGAAAGAGATTCAGTGTGTTGAGACTTGAGAATGAAACAATGGCACTATAAGATCGATTTAAACCTTTGGACCCATCTGAGTTTTGGAGATTGTGCAGCCCGGCCTGGCACCACGAACACCAAGTTCATCCATGAAACGTGACCTGCTTCAAAAAGCTTTGCGGTACTCACATGCTCAATCGATTTTCCTCTAACGAAATAGAGTACATGACCCGGGCGCGTCCGAGGAAAAAAAAATTCACATGCTCAATTCGATTGACGCACGTGCATCCATCCAATCCATCCAGTGCAGTGTAGCTTCCAATTGACAAGAACGTTCAACTACCTTACCAAGAAGATGACCATTAATTCGTGGGGGCACTGAAATAACTACTGGCTAGTGACTACTCTCTTTTTATTCGGAGATTCACGTGTAAACTAGCGAAATGTAAAATAGACTATATATATATCTACTTGTTGCGCACGAAGAATGATGCACCAAACAGGTTGTTCGCCTTTTTAGTCAGTTTGTACTTTCTTCACAAGAGGGACTGGATGTTAGCATCAGCCAGAAAGCCTGGCGCGGTTCACTGTGTATGGCATGGTCCTGATATACAAAGAAGAGTAGTGCGTCAGTGAACCGATCGACAGACATTGATATGCACGGTACGCCGGATAGTGAAGTGTTAACCGAACGGACCATGGTAATGAATAAAGCAATATGATCGATCGCTATAGTCAAAACAATGGCAGAGATTTGTACCTTTCACGGTTACAGATCGATGTAGACACGCAGGCCATCACGAGCTAACTGCACATCTATCCCCTCCCTGCATTTCCAAATTACAGAACATGAACATGCACAGTAAAGCAAGTGTTTTTTTAACAAATAGCAGTAAATGAGCATGTGTCATGTGTGCCTTTCTATGATAAGATCGTATTGAAAGAAGAAGAAAGATGGCATTGCTTCTATTTGCACGTGTTCTATGTCAACTTATTCGGTACATGAGCCTGTGTCTGCACACATCAAAAGTATCTAGGATGAAGGCCTTACCTCCTGGACCACTCTTCCAATGTTTGGTTGTCCTTGTGATGATCCATCTCGTGGGTCATCCCAATGAGCAATGCTCTTTTGGGGCAAATCCTCCTAACAGCATCTAGTGTCTGCATATAAGACCATAATGAGCATAAATCAGGCATACAGAATATATAAGAAATAGGAAAACAGTTTGCTTAAATTATAAAAGAAAGAGTGGAATGAAATGAAAACCAACCTGGTCCCAGCATAGGTGCACATTGTGAGAACCCGTCTGTTCACTTGTCAGAGATGCAACAAATTAGTGAAGACAATAACGCAATATACCACTGCTAACTAATGATCAAATGTCCTTAAACAATAGCAATTGTAGTGCCACAAATTACAAGATAAATCAACTGCTATGTAACTAGTAGTTAAGTGCAAAGTGAATAATTACTTTGATAACCAAAACCAAACTTATCTATATTGGTCGTTCAATATAATCTATCTGTTGCAGTCAATGTTCTGAATTTGATTTGAAGAATCCTGTGGGTTGTACACTTGATGCAAAATCAACAGATCATGTTGTGCTATATTAAAAGCATTAATGTTCACCCCAAGAGACAAAAATGTTCATCCATACAATATTACCAGCAATGAAAGATTTCCTACTATGTGCACGCATCAATTCAGGATTACAAGCAAAAGAGATTTTGAGAAATGGTGTTTCCCAATTTCTACATGTTCCTCTCAGTATTCAGAGACATCTATCCTTATTCTGTAATTTGAGGCGACTAGTGAGCTGCGGTTCAATAAACTAAAAGTTTCGTACTTTATATGTAAATCTAGAAACAAATACATAATGAGCAGCAGGAAAGGGAAAACACAGCATAGCAAACATAAAGAGCTAAAGAAACTAACCCTGTATAGGCAATCCAAGATGAGCAAATCCAGTTGCCCCCCTCCAGACTTTGAAATTGCTGAAACATACGTACATGTACAATCAAACAAGGTATGACAGGCAATAAATCTACAAAACCTGCAGCTATCCTCAAACAATCAGCAAAGATAATGTACCAGCCCATTGCTAAGGTCAAGGAAAAGGACAGGCAAAGCAAAGCACTCACAATACATCTATGCAATACATATCAACAGATATTTATTTCCCAAGCCCCATGAATAAGTTTACAAGCCTATAAGTTGTTAAGTATATGAAGATCCAACTACAATAGGCCCATATGGCCCATGATGCTTCTATATATGTAGTCATCTCCACTACTGGAGTGCTTAGCTTCTGAGATCTCCAAGGTTAGTAACATGGTAATATCATCATACTTGTACTATATTGCTCAGCACTTTCTGCAGCAGGGGAACACTGTATTATGGTGAGTACCAAGCAGAGATGGTAACACATAATACCACTGGACACTACTAGGGTAATTCATCTCAACCAAAACCTAGACTGAGTCACCACTCACCACACTGCGGTCCCCTATCACTGTGAACTTTATTCCAGAAAAATCAAGCACAGGCAACATGGCAGCATAAGATGGTTAAAAAGCACAACTAATAGAGTAGCATTAGCAGACAGAAGATTACCATATTCTGTGCTTGGGGGAAACCGTGAAACATCTGATATGTAAGCAATTTTTGATTTCCTTCCAAAAAGGAAACCCAAACAAATGTAGTCTTCACCATGGATCACCTGATATGAATACAAACTAAGAAAAATGCACAGCAAAATAAAATGCAGTTGAAGGGAAATGCTTCTTATTACCGGCAAGGGAACAAACTCTAGCCCTGAAGTTGTAAATGGTTTCTGAATATCGCTCTCAATTATCTTCCAGTCAAGTTGAGCAACTCGCCTGACCTCCTCCCCTTCCTTTAATTTCTTTTTGACCAAATAAGGGAACTTTTGGCAGATGCTGTTTCAGATTGAATTTAAGAGTATAACATGATTGTATTTGTAGGTACTGTATCAATGTTTATATTTAGAAATATTTGTTATCCTTCACTTAGTTCTCAAGAAACGTGCTAAAGTGGTAAATTTTGTGCAGGAGAAGTGGTTCCCTAATGTAATTGTGAGAAACAGTCAGCTAAGTGTAGTGTAGTATAATTATGACAAAACAAGTTGCATGCATTCCTGACTGAAATATACTTATAATTTGAAAAGAGCAGTAGTGCAGTACCAATGCCTATCAAAGTTTTAACACAATTACCTGTCCATAGCGAATTGAGAGAGATAAATTGGGGTTGGATCAATATCATTTGTGGGACTAAATGGCTGTACGACCCGAACATCATCAAGGCCCAAGATTGCATCTGCATGCTCATGAGTCAGAAGAATCTGTTATCAATAAGGACAATGGTGTTAGTGTACCATGGGTATGCAGAACACTGAATTTTCTTTTACAGTCATAGTGAACCCTCTCTTAGTTGACCTTTTGGCTTGAAATAAACCATTAGAAAAACTAAAGCAAAAAAGAGTATATCAGGGACTCACAGAATCAACGCAAGGGATTTTGTGGCGAACAAACCATCTCAGAACTTGTTCTCTGAATGTCTTCCCCACATCTATTATAATATACTTATGTGTGCCTTCATCTTGGCAATAGTCAATCAAAAGAGAAGTATTGCACCTGCATGAAATACATATATAAGCATAAATTATCTACCAACCTTGTTCACGTACAACAGCATTCTAGAAACATTTCAGAATGAAGTTTTGATTTACTTTCCCTCAAGTAAAACATAAACAAGCGCGATATAATCCTAAGTCACTAGAAGAGTTTAATTTGATCCTAGAGAAGGTATCAGCCAAGAGTACAAGCGTGAAGAGAGCTCAACCATTTCAAAGTTTCTTCATAATCTAAAAATACATGAAACTAAGTTTGATTTACCATGATATGTAAAATAGTATATTCAATTTCTTTTTGTAATCTAGGATTAAGGTATCCTGGGTTCACTTATCCTACTTTCATGACATTGTGCAATTGCATCTAATATATGCACATTCTTCTTTTGCCTAGGTACTGATTTCATCATATACATGATCTTACTTGAACAAAAAGTAACAATGCTCTAACCTCACATCATCACATATAATCTAGCCTCCACAATACTACTGTGTCTCCTATATACAGTAGAAAGGAAAAACAGAGTGGAGAAAGTGAACTATGATTTCTGTCATAGGGGTCCAATGTATAAACAAAAACTGGACATGAGCAAGTTAGTAAGATATAAATTAATATCATTCATATTTTATACTCCCTCCATTCCAAATTATAAGTCGCTTTTTTTTTTTGGTTCATCCATTTTGCTATGTATCTAGACATATTATTATATCTAGATGCATAGCATAATTTGGAACGGAGGGAGTAGATGAAATAGGAAGCCTGGCCAATTAATGTGTATAAATAAAAATGTACATAACCTGAGAGTTCAATTCATTTGATTTTTCAAACATATTTGTCAATCTAAGGAGGATTCTAAGTTGACTCTGGCCTATCGCATATCCACATTGATTGATTATATCTAATCTAATACATCCTAATTTTTCCCTTTTCACAGCATTCCAGTCACTGCAACAGTTCTCAAACTGCTTAAAATGCATGTTGTGAACAATTAGGGGGTGTTTGGTTCCTCTTCCTTAACTTTAGTCGCTGTCCCATCGGATGTTTGGACACATGCATGGAGTATT